CAGAAAATGACATGGAATCCAGATTTTTGCACAGATTTTGGCTTTTAAAGACGATGGTCTTAAACTTTTGATCAGCTGAAAAAATCATGTTTGAGTGTAAATGCAGTTTTCAGACAATCCCCTGCTCAAAAGTTCTTGTCTCTTGCACGGATTTCTTCTTTTAACATTGTGAAGCTCTACTTAGAACCTTCTTAAGATCCAATAGTGCAAAATGCAAATTCTTGCACTTTTTTGACTGGTCTTAAGATTTTGATTAGGAGTTTATATCTAACACAATCATAATTGTTATAATTGGGCATATGATATTGCATCTTATCAATCTCAGACTTGTGAATTGAATTAAACTGAATCAGATCATAGGGCTGTGGCAGAGTGGTTAGGGGAGTTGTCCTATAACTTAAGATAAGATACGATAAGATACAGTAAACCTTTATTGTTATTGTACAGAGCACAATGAAATTATAGTTCAGAACACCCATTCAGAAGAAGACAGAACATAACAAACATRGGAGAACAGGTGCCCCGGGTCATGCARCCACTGACCCTGCACAGAGCAAGGATCATCTTCATGAAGACATCATGAGGAGGCGCTACCCTTAAAAGAAAAACTAAAAACCACACAAGGGTAGATGAGGAAAAAAATTATATCAATGAAATGTGACACTATGGTGTTTATAGAAAAAACCTCTGCAGAGCAAGAGCACATTAACATAACTTGAGGGTCTCAGTCGTGTTCTTGGGCAAGACGCTTCATGTGCCTTGGCTGATGGTGGTCAGTAACCACGATCTGGTGGCACCAGTGTGTGGCAGCCTCGCTTSTATCAGTGCAGGGCAGCTGTGGCTACATTGTAGCTTACCACCATCAGTGTGAATGGGTGAATGACTGTAATGTAAAGTGCTGTGGTGTCCAACAGGACTTGATAAAAGACTATAAAAGTTCAGTCCATTTACCATGGCAAACTGTGATATTGAGAAACATCGAATCGTCATCCAAACAAATCAATATATTGTGATAAAGATGCTGATTTTATACCGCTTGTATTTCCTGGTATTTACATGTAGATATCACTGTTTGTATTACATCACAACATTTTTAGGTGAACAAAGGCAATGGAACAAATAATCTTAAAGTAAATAACATTTAATATTTGGTGGTATAACCCTTGTTTGCAATGACTGCCTCCAGCCTTCGACCCATCATCACCAAACTGTTGTATTCTTCATTTGTGATGCTGTTCCAGGATTTTACAGCAGCTTCTTTCAGTTCTTGTTTGTTTCAGGAGGTTTCTCCTTCAGTCTCTTCAGGAGGTGAAATGCTCTGTTGGGTTCAGGTCAGGTGACTGACTTGGCCAATCTAAAACCTCCCACTTTCCCCCTGAGGAAGTCCTTAGTTTTGTTGGCAGTGTGCTTTAAGTCATTGTCCAACTGCATCATAAAATTACTCCAGATTATTTTGGATGCATTTCTCTGCAAGACAGCAAACAAAATGTTTCTGTGCACTTTAGGATTCATTCTGCTGCAGCTATCATCAGTTAAATCATCAATAAATATTAACGAGCCTGTTCCAGAAGCAGCCATGACATCACCTGCACCATGCTTCAYAGAGGAGCTTGTGTGCTTCAGATCATCAGCAGTTCTTTACTTTCTCCTCACTTTGGTCTTTTCATCACTTTGGTAGAGATTAATCTTGGTCTCATCAGTCCATAAGTTTGTCTTCCAGAACTTTTGTGGCTCATCTCTGTACTTCTTTTTACTGAGTGGTTTGCATCTTTGTGGATGTCCTCTATATTTCTGCTCTCTGAGTCGTCTTCCAACAGTGGATTGTGATACCTTCACCCCTGAACAGTGGAGGTCGTTGCTGATGTCACTCAGGACATTTCAAATTGTTGTGTTTGCTATGCCCGATGTTTGTCCAATAGCTCTGATTGATTTTCCTTCTTTTCTCAGCTTTTCTCCCATAGACAGCTCTCTGGTCTTCATGTTCTTTTAACCAGAAGTACCTACATTATAGGTTTAAAGCCAGGCCAACAAGTAGACTAGTCAAACAGAGCTATTTAATGTTTGAACAACCAACCTTAAAGGCAACACCTGGTCAATAAATAACACCTGTCAGTCACATGTCACAGCATGCATCATGTTTGATTTGATCCAGTCAGWGGAGCTGTAGATTTATAAGGAAGGAGAGCCRCCTTGTTCTAAATAAAAGAAATATGTATTTAAAGTCATTGTCTGATGTTTAAGTCATGACTCAGTAAGTACTCTGTATATTATTTAATGAAGTGTGGTTCATGTTTTTCCATCAAAACGCTGCAGTTCTGAGCTCAGTTTGTCATTTCTCAGGCGACTGCAGCAGCAGCTCAGGCCGACCTGCTCAGGCAGCAGGAGGAGTTGGAGAGAAAAGCAGCTGAGCTGGACCGCCGGGAGCAGGAGATTCAGAACAGGACTGCAGGCAGCACCAGCCCTGGAGGTAAGAGCCGTCAGTCGTTACGTGTGAACCATGTATCATCTGTCTGCTTATAACCAATCATGCAGTGTTGGAATCTGATTTTCAGCCAAAGAGAACAACTGGCCGCCTCTTCCAAAGTTTTTTCCCATCAAGCCCTGCTTCTACCAGAACTTTGAGGAGGAGATCCCAGAGGACTACCGCAGGATCTGCAAAAGGATGTACTACCTCTGGATGTGTACGTAAATCTGCTGGTCTGTGTAGACGAGTCAGTCTCCATCAAAACTGTCTTGTTTAATAATTATTTTATTTTTTATTCCCAAGTCCACAGCTCCACTCTGTTCCTCAACGTGTTGGCTTGCCTGGCCTACTTCACTGCAGACCCAAAGAAAGGGGTAGACTTTGGTCTGTCCATCCTCTGGTTCATCCTCTTCACCCCGGTGGCCTTCGTCTGCTGGTACCGACCTGTTTACAAAGCCTTCAAGTAAGCCGTCCCAGCTGAGCTCTCATTTTTCTGACCTGCTTCACGAACAGGACTGGATRTGACTGATTTTATACGAGTAGTTTCAAACTTACTGTAGGTAAAGATTATTTTAGTCTGGGAGGAAACGCTTCACTACTTGGTTTGCTGCATGTCGGCTCCTTTAAATCTTTGCATCAAACATTTAAAAGTGGATTCTTGTTAGAGAGAGCAGAACTTGGTACATCTGATCTTGATGTGTTGATGTATAATACCTAACTGTGTGTGACATGTACATATGTCTAAGTCGTGGTGAAACTTTCTCTTTGAATCAAAATTGTTGCTTTTGTTTTGTGAACGTTATGCAAAGATAAAAACAATCCTAGCTGCAGACAAACTTCTGTAGATGAAGTTCATTTAGATCAGTGGTTCCCAAATTTTTTGTCTTCTGACCCACAAAATATCCATGGCAAAAACTTGTGACCCCAAATATTACTGGACGAAATTTGTTAATAACCCGAAAAACACAGGATTTTTGACAATCTAAACAGCTTACACACAAATATAAATACTTATTTATAC